AAACCACTAATGTAAAATCCAGACTCTCCTGGCTCACAAACCCAAACGGGACCTCATCTCCCTTCACTCTCCCCAGCTCCACCCTTAAGCCCCCCAGTGCCTGCCCCAAGAGTTGCCCGAGTTCATGCCTTTCTCACCTGATCTTTCGCTTCCTTGACATGGTCCTCCTGATGAGCCCTGCAGGGCTACCTCCTGAGTGTTTGGGTCTCAACTCAAATGTCACCTTCTTCTGGAAAAAGCAGTCACATTTTCTGACTTTACTGGTTTTTTAATACACTTAACCGGTGTTGAAGTTATTTTCTTTCTGTTCTTGCTTAGCACCTTCTCCCCTGAAGAGAATATAAGCTCCATGGATTTAGGAACCGTGTTTGTCTTGCTCAAGTTTCTGTCCCCACAGCCTGGACCAGGGCTTGGCACCCAGGAGAAAACCAATCAGCCTCTGTTAGCTGAGGGCACTGACCCCTAGGCCAAATAGGTGTGTTGCCAACTCTAAGGTGGCAGGTTGTGACAGGTGACGTAGGACTGAGCAGTCTGGAAGAAGGTGGTTGAGATGAGGTCTCCTGGAGGGATCTGGGAAAACCTTGAAGAGGAGGACAGATTTGAATTGTGACAAGAACAGGTAGCACTTCGGGAGGAAATGGACAGAGTGCTTTTGCAGGCACGGGAAGGAGGATGCATGAGGACTTGGGGGAGGGAATGGCTAGGGTTTGGGGTGGCAGGGGTGTACAATCCCTGCTGGGAGGTGCTGGGGCATGGAAGGTTAACTTGAAAAAGTGGGTTGTGGCCCTACTGAGGGGTCTTGTTGTAGACTGAATTGTGCCCCTACCCCCTCAAGATTCATATGTTGAAGTCCTAACCCTTCTATAACCTCCCGATGTGACTATTTGGAGATAGGGCCTTTACAGAGGGACTCAAGTTTAAAGAGAGGACATACGGGTGAACTCTACTCCAATTTGACTGGTGTCCTTATAGGAAGAGGGAAAGACAGCAGGGATGTAAGCACAATGAGAAAAGAGCCAGCAAGGGAATGGCCATCTGCAAGCAGAGAGACCTTAGAAAAACCCAACCCTGCCCCCACCTTGATCTGGGACTTTGAGCCCCCAAGATGGTAAGAAAATAAATTTCTGTTGTTTAAGCCCCCCATTCTGTAATCTTTCGTTTTGGCAGCCCCTGCAAATTCACATAGGTCTTAAGATCTTTATATTTTAATTTTAAATCATGGTATATTCCTCTGGTTCCAGAATCCAACATAAAAAGTAATAATGATCAGAAGATCAAGGTCGTGAATGGTGATGCATAATGTTGATAGCGTGTGACCTTGTTAGGATATGGTGAAAATGGCACTTTACCCATATGGCCTTCCCCCAAGAATCCCCTAAGCTCAGTCTAATGATAAGAAAAACATTAGGTAGGGCTCCCGGGTGGCCCAGTGGGTTAAGCCTCTGCCTTCGGCTCAGGTCATGATCTCAGGGTCCTGGAATCGAGTCCCACATCGGGATCTCTGCTTGGCAGGGAGCCTGCTCCACTCCCCCGCCCACTGCCTGCCTTTCTGCCTCCTTGTGATCTCTGCCTGTCAAATAAATAAATAAAATACTTTTTAAAAAAGAAAAACATTAGGTAAATCTCAAATGAGGAATATTCTACAAAACACCCAACTTATACTCCTCAAAACTGTCAAGGTCATTAAAAAAAACAAGGAAACTCTGGGAAACTGTCACAGCCCAGAGGAGCCTAGGGATACACGACGACTAAGGGTAATGTGGTATCTTGGATGGGGTCCTGCAACAAAGGACATTGAGTAAGACTAAGGAAATCTGAATGAAGTATGGACTGCCGTTATCCTGCTGTATTGACCTAGGTCCGCTGGTGGTAACCAGCGTACCATCCTCATGCAAGATACTGATGAGACAGAAAACAGGGAGGTGAGGGAGGCTATGAGAACTGTTTATATTATCTTTGAAAATTTTTTGTAAATTTAAAATGGTTCTAAAAATAAAGTCTATTTTTTAAAAACAGTGAAAAGTCTCGCTCAGATTTCTGTCCCTTGTCTGTGCAGTGCCTGTTCCTACCCACAGCCTCTACTTTAAGAATCCTTCATGCAGGGGCGCCTGGGGGGCTCAGTCGTTAAGCATCTGACTTCAGCTCAGGTTATGTTCCCAGGGTCCTGGGATTGAGCCCTGCATTGGGCTCCCTGCTCGGCTGGAAGCCTGCTTCTCCCTCTCCCACTCCCCCTGCTTGTGTTCCCTCTCTCACTGTGTCTCTCTCCATCAAATAAATAAATAAATAAATATCTTTAAAAAAAAAAAAAGAATCCTTCATGCAGATACGAATCTATACTGCTTTTCTCCCAGAATGGCCTTTGTATTTGCTTTAAAGAGCACTGAATCATTTTTACTATGAAGTATTTCAAACATACCAGGTAGAGGAACAAATACAACCCCCTGCCGTATGCCCACTGCCCATATTCAGCACTTACCAGGAATTTTCCTGTGTGGTTCAGCCATCCCTCCCTGCCTCCCCCTCCCCTTTTTGTTCAATTGTTGCCAAGCAAATTTCAGCCCTCATACATATGCTAGTGTGCATCTCTGTGTAACCTGCCCATCTTCTTACATTACACTAAAGCCTATACCCACCTCCCCATCAGGAGTGGTTCCTGAAGGGCCTCTTGTGAACTTGAGTCTGGGTGACAGAAGAGCTTTATAGGGCAGGCGTGTGTACATATGACCTAATTATTTCCATGTGGGGGATGATTTGGGCGTGGAGGTCAGAGCAGGGAGGCCAATCATTGACACATTTGGTCTGCATGCGTGACGGGTACAGCAGGGTGGACAGAAGGAGAACCAGCCTTCTGGGGGACTGGGAGGGGAGCCTCTGAGGGACGGGGTCACTAAAAAGCCTGGCTTGGGAGGCATGCCTGCCTAGAGGATAGATGGGGCCTTGGCATGGGGGCAGGACAGCTGCCACTCTCTGTACCTAAGGGTCCTACAGGCAAGAGTGGGACCCCAATGGCTAGGCTTTCCTTCTCAGAAGACTGGGCTCACTTTGACTACCTCCAAGCAGGGGCCACATCTTCGCAGTGCTCTGGCAAAGCCCGTCCCCTTACCTGGCTTAGTGGGCCAGCACCCACCCCACGATTCATGAATATTAGCATGGCAGAGCTGGAAAGCCATTGGATACCACAGAAGCTAATCCCTTTCTGGTTACACAGAGAGAAATGGAGCCCCAGAGGACCAGGTGCCAGTTGCCTAGGACCACACACAGAGTGAGAAGCAGAGCTGGGATTAGAATCCAGGTCCTGACTTCCTCCCACTACCCAGAGCTTTCTCTTCTCTCTCCAAACCCTGGTCCCAGAAGAGATGTGTCACTAGCCATTACTGCCCACGTGTGTAAGTTTAAAACTTCCTGGGCGATCCCTCTCCCAGGGACATAGGTACAATAAGCCAGCTTGCTAATGATAGCGTAACTACAGGAAACTATTTATGGAGCACTTACCACGTACCACAAACTGTGCTAGGAGCTTTTCATACCTCATGTCTGACCCTCCCCAAATCCCATGAGGCAGCCACCATTATCTCTGTAATGGCCCATTATAGGGATGGGTAAACTGAGATTCAGAGAGAAGATGTAGCTGGTCTAGCTAGGATCGTGCAGTGAGGGCGTGGCAGAGGCTGTTTGTCTAACTGGAAAGTCTACACTCTTAAATACAAACGGCTGTGGCCTCTGAAGACCAGGGGTGGCTTCCCATGAAGAGGACAGCGCTTACTGCCTGGCCTCCTCCCTCCTTGCCCCCCGCAGCCCCACCCACCGGCCTTGAGGCTCTCAGAGGACGGGACAGGCCCCTGGGACCTGCTGCCGTCTCCAAGCAGCCAGGCCCATCGCAGGGTGGTTGATGGCCTTTGGTGTTTGGGCCGTAAGCAGACCTCTGTGTTCAGGGTGCTCGTGGAAGTTTCAGCGCTGGCCATGGAGTGCATCAGGCACAATCTCGTCTCAGCCGGGGTTCAAATGATTGGCACAGCCTGGAGGGCACAAAAAGGGTGCCTGCCCTTTCCGCGGCCTTTGCTACACGGTGCGTGCCATGCCCTGCGCCCGGCTCTGGACACGGGGCCCTGGTCTCCGTCCCTCAAGCGCTCAGGCCAGAAGAAGGTGTCAGGGGAGACAAGGCTGTAGGAAGAGACCTGGGACCTACAGATGGGGCCTGTGCTCGGACCCGGGTCGTTCGAGCAGCACCGACGCTGGCACAGGTGGTCACAGGCGTTCCAAGCCGAGGGTATCGCGGGCATGAAGGCCGCGTATGGAGTGCGGGCACGAGGCCTGGAAAGCCGGCGGGAGCAGGGCGCCGCAGGCCGCAGAAGCCGCGGGGGCGGACGCCGGAGCGGGGTCCCGGGGGCCGGAGCGCAGGTCGGGTTCCCGGGTCCATCCCGAGCGCCGCGGGGCCCGGTCACGTGGATGTCTGGGGGCGCACCACGCCCCTCCGACCCGGACCCCTGCTACAGCCGCGCCCGGCGCGGGGAGCCCGGGGTCAGGCCGCGGTCAGTCGCGGGCGCGCGCCGTCGCCGCGGGATGCGCCCCGCCCCCGGCGGCCGTCCCGAGCCCAAGGTTCGAGTCCCGGCCCTGGCGTGGCTCCCTGCGGAGCCGCGCCCGGGCCCTGCCCTCTTCCCACCTCCGTTTTCCCTTTCCCGAGGTCTCGGAGAACCGGTGCTCTCGGTCGCGCGCGGCCCGGAGCCCGCAGGCCTCCACGCGGGGCGGGGCACCAGCGACGCGTCCGCAGCGCGCCCGCCCTCGGGAGCGCGGACGCGCACGGGCGCGCTCTCACCTGGCCGCCGCGAGAGCGGCTTTTGGCAGGCGGGGCCGGGAATCCCCGCCCCCGGCCCCGCCCCCGGCCCCGCCGAGCCAATCGGAGGGGATGGCTAGCCCCGTGTGGGGCGACGCGCTGGAGGCGGGGCCTGCGGGGGCTGAGGAGAGAGCCCGAGGGCCGGCTGCGCGAGGCGGTCGGGCGGAGGCGGCGGTGGCGGCCGCTCCCGGGACAGCGACGCAGCGCGCCGGCGGCCGCGACAGGGCCGGTGAGGCTCCGCAGCCCGCCGCAGCCGCAGCCGCCGCCTCGCCGCTGAGGGCCCGAGAGCGCGGCGGCGGGCGCGCGGCCTGCGAGAACGGCCGGAGCGGCGGGCGCGGCGCGGCGCCGAGCGTCCTGTCAGGCGGCCGAGGGCGCCGCGGACCCGCGCCGAGATGATGCCGGTGGGTGCGGGCGGCGGCGGCTTCCTCCGCGGGCGGCCGGCCAAGCCTCCTTCCTCCCGCGGCTCCCCGCCCCCAGGGCCCGCGCGAGGCCGGGCGGGCGGGCGGGCGGGGAAGGAAGTGGCCTGGCGGGCGCGCCCGGCCCCGGCGCCCCCCGGGCGGGCAGGTGGGGGCGGCGCCGGGGCTGTCAGCACGGGCCGGGCGGGGAACCGGGGCCCAGGGCCGGGGGCCGGCGGCCGGGGCCGCGGCGAGGATCGCGACGGGCTCCCCACCTCCGGCGCCCCCTCGGCCGCGGCTCGGCCCTTCCTGCCGACCCTCCGAAGCTGAGGGTTGCCCGGGAGGGGAAGCCCGTCCCGGCGGGTGGCCCGCCGGCGGGTGTCGTTTGGCGTCCGCTCGGTTTCGGGGTCTCGCGGCGCCCCCGTGACCCCCCCGCCTGCCGTTCGCTGGGCTCGCGTTCGGAGCGGGCGGTGTGGACTCCCCGTGTGGCGTTCCCACGCCGGGCGCCCCACGGATCTCCGCAGCCCTTCCCTGGGTGGGAAATCCTGTTGTATTTAGGAATTCACCCAGGGGGTGGGCGCGGGGGGCCATCTTGGGAACCCCCTCGCGCGCGGCTCGGGGGCGGGTGCGTTTCGCGTTCCCCGGCCTGCGGTCGCTGTGATCCGGAGGTGGAGCGAGGTTCGTCCGCGGCGGTGCCGCCTTTGTCCTGTCCTCCAGGACGCGCTCTGCCGGGGGGTGGGCCCTTCCCTTCACCTGCGGTCCGGGTCGCGGAGCGCGCCGAGTTCCCGGTTTTCCGACAGCGCTGCTTGGGAGGTGGACGGCAGGGCTTGCGAAGAGAGGTGGGCCTGCCGGTGTCCGGCGCGATGCCCTGCTTTCCTGAGCGCCTTCATTTCAAGTGAAATCCTCGAACGCGCTTGCAGCAAAGTGACAACAGAATCCCTGCTGAAGCGGCAGCTTCTGCACTGGAGTCCCGTTTCCGACGGAAGGCGCCGTTTCTCCGCATTCGCTGCGTGAACACCGCTCTCGTGCGGTGCTGCCCTCAAGGACGTTTAGATTAGACCCCCCCCATCTTTCAAGTCGTTTCCTGTCTCTTCTCCCCTTTTTGAACTCGTTCCAGCACATCGTGTTGACAGAGCCTTAAGCTTTGACCTCATTGATCCTTAGATCCTTCTTTGGCATCAGGGCCTGTTGGGTTTCTGAACATTTGGTTTGTCACGGAAGGAGGCTGCTTCTGCTACTTTTTAGCTGTGTGACCTTGAGCAAGGCAAGGTCTCGAGCTTGGAGTTACCTCCGAAGTAGGAATAAAAAGTACCAGCGTCTGAGGGCTGCCCTGAGGATCCAAAAGGGTGATGTGTCCAAAAGTGCTGTCAGACGCCTGCCGATTATTTATTATTGCCAGTGTGGCTCCGAATTGTCAGCTCCTAATTTTAACCTCTGCAAGATACGGCATTTGGAAGCTGTTCCCGCTCCAATTCTCGCTGGCTAGATTTGGAAAATCTAGACTTGGGATTCCGAAAGCGGTGTTAGTTAAATCACGTAGCAGTCGATTTCACTGTGTACCGCAGTAATATTGAAGGGTAGTTATAAAATTTTGATTGGTTTCATCATTGTGCAGCGTTTAATTGTGATACCCTGTTAAGGAGCCGGCTTACATTTTCCGTGTGGCACACGCAGACGTTTTACCTCTGTTGCCCACGGTGAGAGTTCCTAGTCTCATCTTTATCAGGTTCCTTTTAAGAAGTTTGCTTACAGTTGGGAAATTTCTTCATGATACTCAAAGTAATCGAATACTACTTTAGAAAAAACAGATAAGTCTATTAACTATTTAAAACACACTGCTTGGGGCACCTGGGTGGCTCAGTGGGTTAATCCTCTGCCTTCGGCTCAGGTCATGATCTCAGGGTCCTGGGATCGAGCCCCGCATCGGGCTCTCTGCTCAGCGGGGAGCCTGCTTCTCTCTCTCTCTCTCTCTCTCTCTTTCTGCCTGCCTCTCTGCCTATTTGTGATCTCTGTCAAATAAATAAATAAATAAAATCTTAAAACAAAAAAAAAACCCACACTGCTTTTGTTTTAAAATGCCTTCTAGAAACAGATGGTATTTCTCTTGGTCTCTCTTTTGCGGACTTTGGGGCTGTATTTCTTCTAGATCCCTAAAAAATTCTACTTGGAGGATTGAGTCCTTCCTCCATTAGCACAGTTGAGGCTGGCTGTAGATTTAATACAGTTCTAAGGACATGCCATTCTTTCTTGGTCCTGTCTTAAACTGTGTATTCAAGATATAAATAAGATTTTTCTTTATTGTATAGTTGGTGTTCATCATCATGATGAATCATCAAAGGAAGATTAGATCATATTTTGCATACTTTGTATAGAGCAGTACTTCCTAATAGGAACGTAATGTGAGCCACACAAATGTGATTTTAAATTTTCTAGGAACTACATAAGAAGATGATATTTTAGTAATGTCTCTTATTAACTCATAATATCAGAAGTATTGTTTCAACAAGTAATCAACAGGAAGAAGTTTACTAATGTGGTGTTTTACTTTTTTATTTTTTTACCCTAAATCATTGAAATCCACTGTGAAACTGATGAAGTTTTATATTTATAGTGCATCTCAGTTTACAGCAGCATGTTCCAAGTACTCAGTAGCCACATGTGGTCAATGGCTACCATCTTGGGCAACATAGGTTTATAATATTTTTTTTAGTTATTTGCAAATTGGCAGTTAGTGTGTATTGTCTGTGGTAACTTTTAATTGATCAGATGGTTTACTGTAGCACCCAGTCTCTCAGCTGTTGGGAATAAATGGGAGTATCCTGCCACGTTTTCATCTGACACAATAAAGTCTTTGTAGAGGACTTCAATTTGCCTGTTATGGGAAGTTCCGTGACTATTTACTTTTTTTTTCTTTTAAGTGGGCTCCGTGCTGGGCATGGAGCCCAGTGTGGGGCTTGAACTCGTGACCCTGATATCAAGAGTTGGTCACTTAACAGACTGAGCCACCCAGGTACCCCTGGGACTTTCTACTTTTAAACAAAGTTATGTTTTGGAATTTTCCCTTATTAAAATAGTTTTGCGTTCTGATGTCCATAGTCATTCACCTTTTTGTCAGTGGATGACATTTTAACAACGTTTTCCCAAGAAGAAAGTGGGCTGTACTTTAAAGGTTACTCGTTGGGTCCTCCCTAAGATCCGGACCTGAAAGCGTTTAGGCCGTGCCTCGATAACTTTGATAGAAATAAGAATATTAATAAAAATAGCCTGTATGAAAACTGCCTTGCTCATTGGTCAGCAATTGGTCACGCTCTTTTCAAAAGAGAGCACTTCGCAGCTGGTAAAACTTCCTGTGCAGAGGCGAGACATGTATCCGGGGAATGGCGCTAAGGGTACTTTCTTCTCTTCCGAAGGAACGTTAACGTGAAGAAAGGAAGTTCAGTGGTTCTACAGTGTGTTTTGTTCATACGACAGGCATTCTGTTGGTAGTGTTTCTGTCATGTTGGTAGTGACTTCTCACCTGCAGTGGACGCCACGTAGTGTGACCAGCTGATTGCACTCCTTTCTGTCCTGGGAGCCATTTCAGCTAGGGGTTAAATGAATTTGTACTTAACATTTAGTTCTCATTAAACAAACGTTCACTTATTTTGGGTATTCGCTGTCTTCCCAACTATGAACAAAGATACCTGAGGTCTAGAATAGGTCTTTCTTTTCTTAACCCACCAGCTGTCCTGTAATTGATACAACAAATTGGAAGTAGGGAGATTCAGGTTCTAGTCCCCACTTGTTAGTAACCTTGTGACCTTTGGACTTAATTTGTTTGGGCTTCAGTTTCTCACCTGTGAAGTGAGTTGGTCTTGGTGATTTCCAGCTGTTTATGGTTGGTCCGGCGGTTGATACGTAGCAGATACTTTCATGAAGAGCAATAATCAGGCTGCATCAGAGGCTGAGGCAACCGGACACTTGTTTTGACAGCCCTGATGTAAGCTTGTTCACTGCCCAAGTATCTTTGTACCATAGAGCAGATAAGAGCTCCGTAGGTGTTCACTATTATTGTGAATTAATAATTTAGTCACTTGATAGGCTTGAATGTGTAGCCTAATGCAGTAGCCAAAACCCTGAAGACTGGAGAAGATTTTCTTTTTAACTCTAGTTTCTTTATTTTTTTTAAGTTTTTATTTTGCAAAGAGAAAAAACCAGCTGGGTGGAGGGGCAGAGGGAGAAGCCTACTCCCGGCTGAGCAGGGAGCCCCATGCCAGACTGGATCCCAGCACCCTGGGATCATGACCAGAGCTGAAGGCAGCTCTCAAACCGCTGAGCCACCCAGGTGCCCCTTTTTTTTTTTTTTAAGATTTTATTTTTGCAAGAGAGAGAAAACTAGTTTCTCTAAAACAAAAATTACAGGCATAATATTGTCATTTAAAATAATTCTAGCCTTTAGATTGCCCAGAAATTCATAAAAGGAAAAGCAAAGCCTTGGTCATAGAAAGATGTGTATTTAAAAGCTTGTATTATTACGGCTTTATTGAACTTAAAAATCGTCTTTGTGGACGACTCTTCTGAAGGCTGCAGTGCGAAGTGGAGCCGTAAAGTGGCAGCTCTGGCTTCTTTCTGTGGCTCAGTCTGGTGATCGTGAGTAGCTGTGGTATTTGTCATTAGGTGCTGAGGCCCTGTATCACAGGTTTTGTGGCGGTATCGCTGTTTTTATGGAGAACTGAGGCTCAAGAGGTAGAGAAACTTGGCTAAGGTCCTCCAGCTGGTAAGCAGTAGAGCAAGGTTTGAAAACAAACAAGCTGACTCGAAGCCTTTGCTCCTAATCTTTGTGCCAGTCACTTAGGGAAGTTTGTTGTAGTCCAAGCACTTTGCGGGGGGTGCTAGTGAATTGAAATTGGCAAAATTTTTCCTGTTATGCTCAGCTCAAACAGAGCTTATTATTTAAAAGAATCCTGAGGTGAATTTTTTTAAAATTCCGGTATAGTTAACATGCGGTGTTATATTCGTTTCGGGTG